GTATTCCATTGTAAAAATACGCCGCAGCTGCTTTATCCATTCATCCCATCCATCAGTGGACACTGTTGTCTCCATGTCTTGGCCATTGAAAATAATGCTGCTGTGGGCATGGGCGGGAAAGAGCATATATATTTTCAAATTAATGTTTTTGTTTCCTTCAAATAAATACCGAGAAGTGAAATTGCTGGGTTGTATGGTAGTTCTATGTTTAATTTTTTGAGGAACCTCCATATTTCCTTCCATGGTGGCTGTACCAATTGACATTCCTACCAACAGTGTCCCTTTTCTCCACATCCTCGCCAACCCTTGTTATTCTTGTGTTTTTGATAACAGCCATTCTAACATGTGTGAGATGATATCTCACTGGTTTTGATTTGTATTTCCCTGATGATTACAGATGTTGAGCATCTTTTCATATACTTTTTGCCAGCTCTGGCTCTTCTTTGGAAAAATGTCTATTCAGATCCTCTGCCCATTTTTTAATCAGATTGTGAAGGTTTTTTCATTTTTGTTGTTGAGTTGTATGAGTTCTTTATATACTTTGCATATTAACCCCATATCAGATAAATTATTTGCAAACATTTTCTCCCATTCAGTAGGTTGCCTTTTCATCTTGTTGATGATTTCCTTCACTGTGCAGAAGTTTTCTAGTTTGATGTAGTCCCACTTATCTCTGGTTTTGTAGCCTTGTGTTCAATAGTTTTTGAATGAATGACTTATATTGCTCATATGACAAATTTACGTATGTCTCATTAGAAAGAGCTTTTCTGGAACCACTAAGTATAACTCTTAACTGAAAGACTGAAGAATATTTGCAGATGTTGAGATGCAAAAATTGGCAGCCTAACTCAAAGATCACATGTTGCATATGGCTTTATCTGCTTGAGAACCTTGTTTGCAGACCTTCAAAAACCCTTAGGAAAACCACTTCTTAATGTATTGTGTCAGTCTAATGAAATTACATAGCCTTTTTTCATCATTTGCAGAGTCAACGATTGCAAGAAAGTTTGAAGAAAGTGAACCACATCAAAATCTTGGTATAGTATATAATTTGAGCTGTTTTGAAGTAAATAACTTTTAACATCAACTTAGATTTTCTCCAGATTTGGTGCATTTCAGTGGAATTGTGGCAGCTCCAGTAAAACCACATTCTTTGGAAGAGAATCATGCATGTACTGATGACCTAATTTCTTAGGAAGCATAAAGACTAGAAATTTACATCATACACTGAACCCATACAGTGCTTTTTGTATAATCATTTATGGTTTTATTCCATTAAAACTTCCTTACAGTTACACAAAGATCTAATAAACACCATCGACTTCACCTGCCCAATGATTTTAGAACACTCATCTTCCTGAAATGAAAAATCATTTTGTCTCTCAGGATGCCTTGGGCTACTCTTTCTGAAGCCTTCTGACCCCAGAATTTTCATTTGCACAAAGGAGAATGAGGAGGAAAACAAGTGGCCTTATTCCTGTCTTCCCCTGGTATCTTCCTAAAAGACAATGGAATCTACCAGATTGCTGCTTGAGGCATAATTACTATAGAATGAGGATGTTCTATCACTTTGGGTTTGAATGTTTTCATGTTTTGCCTCAGACAATTGTGCAGGGTACAGTTATGTTTAAAACTTCTATTTGAGCTTATTTGGGGATCAAGTTAGTGCAGTTTGTCCCTGTTAGCACATTGTCGGTTAAGCAGCTGAAAAGGGGGCTGCCTCCATGTGGCCTTCTGAGTGGGGGCACGGTGCCTAGTCATTGACGGAGCTGACCGAGTCCTAGCTAGGAAGAGGAGAGAGGTCTACTGAAGAAGCAGAGGGATGAATGTAAGTTGGGAGACTTGGGCTCCAATTTCAGCCCTCCCATGGCGGGCCCTGGGACATTGAGTCATTCTCTCAGCCGCCTAAGCCTGCAAGCTCAGCAGTCAGGGATGGCATGTCGGACTCCTTTGATTATACACGGAGAACCGCAAAAACAGGACAAGAATGAGCAGCTGGTTGGAATCGGGGCAGTGCTGGCCCTGTGTGCTTTCTGTCCCTCCCTCGCTGAGAGTCCTCATGCCCCCTCATGTTGCCTCTCCTCCCTCTTTCTCCTCCAAGCAGGGAAGATCTGACGACTAGTTAATCGCCATTTGGTTTGGAGCATCTTTGTAAGGCCACATATGGTCCACATAAGCCCTGCTCCATCCCTCTTTCCAGTGGCTGCTTTTCTCAGCAAAGGATACAGTACATGGCAGGCGCCCTGAGGCATTGTGGCCTGGCAGTCACTGTTTTTGTAAATGCTGCCCGTGTACCTGGCACAGTGCTGGTACCTTACATACATTATTTAATCCTCACAGTAGCCTCTTTTGTACTTGTCCCCTCTACCTGGAAACACTGTTCCCCTCAATTCTTTTCATGCCTGGTTTCTCATCCTTCACATTTCTGTTCACATATCACCTCCTCAGGCCTTCCCTGACCATCCTGTGTAAAACAACCCCCACCACCATACACACTTAATGCCCAGGGTTTTCCCTTCTTCACTGCATTTACTACTGCCTGAAGTCATCTCATGTTTGTTCATTGTCTGTTTTTTCCTGTAGAAGCTTCAGAAAGGCAGGGACTTTGTCTGTGTTTTTGTATGGTTTTATGTCCTGTGCCAGCTATAGTCCTTGATATAGAGTAGGTATTCAAGTGTAAATAAATTAAACCTAATCAATGAGTTGGCTGCAGTAGCTTTTCCATTTTTACTGCAGAGTAAACTGAGGCACAGATAGGTTAAGTGAGTTGCCAGGCCGCGCAGCCAGGAAGTGATAAAGCTGGGATTCACACTCCAAACCCTGGTTCTTAACCAGCAGACCATTCTCTTTCAGGTTAGTTTACAGGGGACATTACTGGTCCAGTGGCTTCTGGCTTGTTCCGAAGGGTGTATCAGATCATATTTAGAAAAGCAAAGTTAAGGTGGTAAGTCATCATAAAAGTAATGGTCGGAGTCACTTTGCTCTCACCACAGTATTTGTTTAGCACTTCCATGGATACTGAGTCCTTGACTCCTCACAAGTCACTGAAGAGTGTTAGTAGTCCCCTTTCTGTTGCTCAGATGAGTTATGTGTCCAGAGTCCCATAACTGATATGCGGCAAAGCTGAGACTTGACCCCAGGCCCTCACAGACCAACTGTCTCTACAGCACAGTCATTCCCTTCTCCAAGTTCCCATCTGGAGAGCCCTCAGGAGCCTCTCACCTCCCCAGATGCAGACCCACGTCCCCCACTCCCCACCAGCATCACCAAGGCCTTTTCCAGGCTCTGAGGGTGGCCTTTGTGACCTTGTCTTATCAGTGTACTAGTTCAGGCCTTCTCAGCAGTTGTACTACTGGCTGTTATTTTACTGTACTCCCATCCAGCATTGGGGTTACATCCTAAAGTCAACATGTAAGGAGAAAAGCTAATACTGTCACCTTAGACCTGGAAATCTCCAAATGCTCCTGTGGAGCCAGTTTACATCTCTGTTGGCTTTTAAGATTTTCTTTGTCCTTAGTGTTCTACCTTCACCATAATATATTTTATATATATATATAATGATAAAGTGAAGATTTTTTTTTTAAATCCTGCTTGGGACTTTGCTTATTTAACCTGAAGATGCCTTTATTATTTTTTTTAATCTTGTAAAATTCATTTTCAAATATGACCTCTCTCTTTCATCTTACCTTCTGGAATTTCTGTTAACTACATATTGAATGCTGTGCCATCTTCTGTCAGTATCTCTGGTCCTTTCCATCATTCTTTGCTGCCTTCCTTGGCATTTCTCCAGCTCTTTGACCAGTGATTTGCTCCTGAGCCACATCTACCTGCTGTTTAACCCATTCACAGTGCCTTTACTTTGGGTGACTACTTTTCCATTTCCGGATGTTCTCTTCAGTTCCTCTCTTCTTTTTCAAGTCATTCTGTCTTCTTTAATCCTCTTTCATGGTTTCTGGTCCTTCGTTTCTCTGTGTAAGTGTGGTTATGAGAGCCGGTTTCCAGTGCTTGTAGTTGTCAGGTCTCAAGGACACAGACCGTCCCCTCTGCTGTGTCCACGGACTCTTGCTCCCTTTGTGTGCTGTGCCTTTGGTTATGACCTGGGTGTTTCTTTTCTTGTCTGACTGACCTGGGTCCATTTCCTTAAGTTCATTTCACAACTCTAGGAAGCCTGCCCTACACAGGACACTGAAGTCAGGTGCAGTGCACACCTGACAGTAGGATTTTTCTCCCTATACAGAGCCTCACACAGAGTTAAGCTTTCTTGTTGATTGATGGGTGGTTTTTCTCCCCATCTTTCTGGTAGGGATACTCTTCAAGGGTCCTGGCTTAATGCACACTCACCACTGTCCTTCACATGGGCCTTAAGACCCAAGACCCTGGACCTGAAGCCAAGTTCCAGGTCCCATGTGTGCTTCCTTCCACAGACCCTGCAGTTCAGCTTACCATATTCTGTTTTCTCATCTGTCTGGATTCACCATTTTTGTGAGCTTAGCAGTAGTTTAAACTTTTTTTATTTATCAGTTATATTTTACCCAGCATTTCAGGTATTTAGAATTGATAATTTCAGTATTTGCTAGAACCTTTGCACATAACCCTGTGCAGTATTTCTTAGGCACACTGACATTTGAGACCACCAAGCTCAAGGAAACAAGAAACAAAAGACTATTATATATTAGACCATACATAAAAGTCTGGCAGTCAGATCATTCTGCCTTATCCTAACAGGATGGGGGAATGGGTATAGAAGTTTGTCACTTTGTTCCTACTTTATTGGGCTTACTCCATTCTATTTGAATTTTAAGTCCCTCTAACTTCAAAAGTACTAATAGATTTGTTTATGTGAAGTTAGATAAGAGATGTGAAAGCACAGGAATCAGCTCAATAAGTAATTGGCAGATTTGAATGTACAACTTGCTTAATCTGAATCATATCCCCGTGGTCCTTTGAAGAGTTAGTAGAGAAGATTTGGGGCTACCTACTTCCTGTCTTTCCAAGTTAGCATTTCCATGAGTGAAACATCACGTGCAGAGCCTTGAAAAGCAGGTCTTATGACTAGAATTTTGTAGTACTGGGACTGTTGAGTTCTTAGAGATCTTCCCCCCGCCCAGTGACTCTCCCCTCCCCAGTACTTCCATCTGCCTAGGGCAGTGCCACTCCCTTTGTGTCCTGACCCACAGCGAAGCAGGTGGCCCCCAGCGTTTGTTCTGTGGAATGCGTGGACTTCGTGCTGGCTTGGCTTGGTGCAGGGAGTGTTTTCATCTGTTACAAAATCCGTCATGAAGTTGTCCGATGCCCGTCCTGAATATAAGTACTGCTTCAGTGATTTACAAAATAAATATTCACTTCTAGACTACATGGTTATCTGCATTGCCAGTAGGACTTGCCTCCTGGTCTGAAAGTTTACAGTGTGAGGAAACTGCTTGCTTGCTTTTTTTCTGTGAGTATAAATGGTTCCAGTCTTCCTGCTTGCGTTAGTTTCTGGATTCTTGGAAATCTTTGGCTCTCAACACTGGTTCTAGTTCCACTTTTTCCTTTTTTTGATCTTGAATGTTAGACCTGTTATTAAGTTTTCCTCCTTTCATTTTAATGTACCAGTACTATACCAGTTGAATACTATAATTCAGCAATTTATTCTTGGAACTGGCTTATAAGGATTTCTAAGAATTGTACTAAGCACTTGATTTTTGTTTCTCTAGCAACTGAAATTAACCTTTGAACTTTTTTGTGTGCCATTAAGAAAACGCAACACCTCTAGCCTATTTGCAAATTCTCTGCTTCATTTTATAGATATCTGGGATTTACTATTACTTGGTAATAGCAGATTCCATTTTTCAGGTGGAAGATGAACTCAGTTCTCCAGTAGTGGTATTCAGATTTTTCCAGGAATTACCAGGCTCAGGTAGGTGATGTTAAAATGAGTTCTTTTTCTATCCCTGTCTAAGGACTTTGAATTTTAAACCATTTCAAACTAAATTGATACTACAAAATATTTTGAATGCTAAAATCCTTAATCATCATTTCAGAAAAAAAAAATCAGTAATTTTCACAAGAACTCCAGACCTCCAGACCTCAAGGCCTTAGCATTTTACTATGACTAAGCCAGTGGTTTCCAAATGGTAGTCCCTGTACTAGTGCTGGAATGAATGAGAAAGAGTCACCTGAAAATACGGTTTGGGGGGCACTACTACCTAGATATTTTGACTGCATAGGTTGGATCCGGGAACCTCTTCTTTAAAGAACATCCCAAGGCCTCCTGGCTAGTCCAAGGCACTGTTATTTTTAACCTAGACAGCCACAGCGCCTCAAACCTGTGATCTCACTTCCCATTCCAGACCACTCTCCACATGGCAGTTAGAGTGAGGGTGAAAAATAGAAGTCACATTGTGTCACTTCCTGCCCAGAGCCCTTTGATATCTTACTGTTTCAGCTGAAGAAGGGCCGGGCTCTGCACCAGGCCTTGTAGGGCTGTGGGTTCTAGCCCTTGCCTTCCTCTCCAACTTCCTCTCAGGCCACTTTCCCTCTTTGCTCACTGTGCTTGTGTCAAAGTGGTCCACTCTGAGTTTCTAGAACACTCCACTTTCCTAGAGCAATATCTTTGCACTTACTGTTCCCTTTGCTCCAGACTCATTTCCCCTCGTGCTTCTGGCTGGCTCCTTCTCACCATTCAGGTTTCCATTCTCCATGGGGTCCACCGCCTCCGAGAGCGCTTCTGTGTCCGTCCTGTCTAAAGTGACTCCATCACGTTACATCAGCATCCTCGCCATCTTTCAGGCACTAACAACAGAACAGAGTGATTTCGTTTCTTTCTCTATGGTTTTTCTTCCATAGAATGTAAACACCAAGGTGACAAAAACCTTGTCTGCCTTATTCCCGCATTCCTGGACTGGTGCCTGGCCCACGTAGGCACCCAGGAGGGTAATTCTATGTGAAGCCCCAGTCTGGATGCTGTTGGGTTCTCTGGTTTACTTTGCACAGTGCTTGGTAGGATAGTTGGTAACTCAAAAATCCTTGAAAAGTAAACTTTTTAAATGAAATTAAGAATTTTATTCATATGAAAATATTCAAGTGTTAAATTTTTCGTGAGGAAAATGTGGAAACACTAAACCCTCTATAAGATCCACATTTTTTTAATTGTGGCAAAAAATAAAAATTACCATCTTAACCATTTTAACTGTACATTTCAGTAGTGTTCAATGTATTCACATTGTTGTACAGCAGCTTCCCAGAACTTTTTCATTGTGCGGATCTGAAATTCTGTGTCTGTTACACAGGAACTCCCCATTTCCTCCCCTCCCAGCCCCTGGCAACCACTCTTTGTTCTCTGTTGCTGTGAATTTGCTCCAAGTTCTTCACATAGTGGAGTCATGCAGTATTTGTCCTTCTGTGACTGGCTTATTTCACTGAGCATCATATCCTCAAGGTTCATCTGTGTTGAGCATGTGACAGACTTTTCTTCCTTCTTAATACTCCTTCTTAGTACTCCCTTGTATGGGTAGACCACATTTTGTTAGCCATTCATTGTGAGATACACATTTGATTTCTGTACCATTTGAGACTTTTCTCTTGGATTAACATTAGGCACTAAGTGAAATGGGGTTGGGAGGCTGCATATTTTTGCTGTGTTTCTGGGGGGGGAGTGAATCTCCTTTCTGTGTTTTGGTGTCAGATCCAGGGCTTAAAGCTGCCTCTGTCCCCAGCATGGCTCCCTCCACAGTTGGCCGAGAGAGACACTCATGTGGTGCACTGAATCGCTGGGTAAGAATGGTGGTTGTGAACTCTTTCCTACCTCCCAGATGGTTGGGATGACACGTGGTCATGTCTGGGAAATCAGACCCACAGGAGTCTGGGAGCCTCATGGGAAGGTGCTAGGTTCCACTGTGGGCTTCTTAATCAGACCACTGCCTCCTGCACTGTGTGACTTCGGCAAGTCCTCTCAGCATCATTCCCTCCATGTCCTCATGTGAGCATTTCCTTGCTGCTGTTTGGACTGTGAAACAGCCTGCAGAATAGGAACCACACAGCCACGCGGGAACTCTGATGAGCGCCCGTGGCAATGTCAGCAGGTATGTAAACCAGAGACCCCTGAACACCTCTGGCGGTCTGGCAATACGCATCAAAGGCATTACACTTCAGCTGCCTTTTGACACTGAAATTATACCTCCAAAATTTTAGTTTAAAGAATGTTCTAAGCAATGTAATGATGTTCACCAAAGTAGTATCAATCCTAGCAAGACGTGGGACATACCCAGCCTCAGGGGTTTGTTGAGTAAGTTACGGTACATCCAAGAAGTGACATTCAAAATAGCATAAACATTCAAAACATTCAAAACATCCATGTAGCTGGATGTTTACAACAGAAGGGAAATGGTCATCATAAATTATATGAGAAAATGCAGTTATTGCACAGCATGTAGAATGTCATGCTTTATGACAACAGAAAATATATACACACACATAAAGGCCCAGGGTGGGTACCATATGTCAGCTAACAGTGGGGGTTTCTCAGATGTATTGTGGGTAATTGTTATATTATTCTTTTGGTTTACAGTATTTCCTAGATTTTTCAACAATGAACTTGTATTTTTTAGTAATAAAAAATGTAAAATTCACTGTTTTTAAGTTACCATAACGATTCAAAGAGAATTTTTTAAAAATTAAAGGAAACTAGCCCTCCACGAGCCTCCTGGGTTGGGCTGAGTGGGTGGGGGAAGGTCTGAAGACGTCGATTCCCTCCTGCGGAGCATGTTCACTCCACCCTTGTCCCTGCAGCTGGGAGAAGAGCTGAAACAGCTGGTGCCCACCAGCGGCCTCACTGTCGTGGACCTGGAGGTGGAGGGTGTGTGCATGCGGTTCAGCCCTTTGCTGACAGCGGCTGGTGAGTGAGCTCGGCCGGTGCCTGTACTCCTGGGGAACAGCGGGGACAGGCTGCTGAAGTCCAGACTGCGGGTTTGAGACCGATCAGCTTTCCCTTGTCATAGTCTGTCCTCTCTTCTTGGAGAGGCTTTTTCTTTTGGGCTAAATCTAGGTGAATTAGCCTTACAGGATAACTCCAAAGAAATAGGAACCCCTGAAGTCACTTGAATTCCTGTGTTTTGATGTCTTGTGACCTCTGATTACTCTTCAGTGGTTCTCAGTACAGGCTGCACACTAGAGTCCCTGCAAAGCTTGAGGACTCCCAGAGGCTGGGCACCACCTACAGATTCTGGTTTACTTGGAATGGAGCCTGGGCATCTATGTTTTTCAAAGCTCTCCTGGTGATTCAGATAGGCCAACAAAGGTTGAAATTCACGGTTTTAGATGCTGGAGAAAACAGTACACTGAAAGTATGTGGATTTTTACAACAAAATCCTGGGTACATATCCCCCTGGCCACTTCATAACCTGTGGGACCTTGAGTAACTTGATTTCTAGACCTGTTCACCACTACCGCATGGTAGCAGTTTGAAGATTAAAATGAGATACACATACGAAATGCCTTAGATAGTGCTTGGCATATTATATACTAGGAGTTAACAATAAGCTGAAAAAGAATTCAAAATATGATTGTGCTTTTTTCTGAGATGCCTTAAACATTTTCAGAAAATGTTTGGTTTTTCATGAGATGTTTTCAATATTTTTGGAAAGATATTTCCTCAAAGACATCAAAGTAGAGAAATGCACACACTTGTCCTGCAAAGAAAAGCCATCGGGAAGAAAGCTGGCGGCCTCGGATCTGCAGGCGTCTCCGCTCCTCAGCCCAAGCCCCTCCCACCCCAGAGGCTTGGTCTCTGAAACCAGAGAAGCCATCCGAGGACCGACCCGAGGCAGCCTGTGTGGAGGCTTCGAGAGGTCACAGGGAAGGGTGGTGGGGCCCTGCGCTCCCTCGGGCTGACCTTCAGAAGGAACGCGTAGCCTCCCACCACAGACCCACTAAAGTCCATTTCTCTTCATGAAGTTAATGTAGAGAGACAAGCGTGTGCTTGCCTCTTTGTAACCCGTGGTATGTTTGTAACCTGACTTAAGCAGAGTGTTTCTGTGAGAAGCCGATTCTACACTGGATCTCGTGTATTAAATCAGAGGGGCTAATTATGTCCTCTGTTTAAGAAAAACTGCCTACACCTGGAACAGCCAGCTGTATTAATTTTTAACACTTGTTCTTGCATAGCTGGATCTAGTGGCTTCTTTTTTTTAATTTCTCGTGCCAGCTAATTGGGTGTCTCTAGAGCCGGGGACCTTTCTGATGGTAGAGGTTGGAGACTGCTGTCTCATCTGTAGCCATTCCTGAAGCATTTCTCCAACATTCTGTGAACATTCTCAGTTTTAGGAACTCGGGGAGACGATGTGGATCAGCTCGTGGCCTGCATACAGAGCAAGCTGCCAGTCCTGACTTGCACACTACAGTTGCGAGAGGAGTTCAAGCAGGAGGTGACAGGAACTGCAGGGCTCCTACATGTGGAAGACCCTAACTGGCCCGGCATAGGAGCTGTCAGGTATGGCTTCGGTGGCCACCACACGTTAACTCCTGTTGCTGTACAGACACCATGGATGAGTCATTGTGAGCTAGTTTAGAGATCTCAGGTGAACGTGCAGTCCCAGTGTACACGTCTCAAGAAAATTCAGTGAGATGAACTGGGCATTTACAAACCATAGGGCGGCAGACATCGTGGCCTGCCATGGTGCTCAGTGAAGTGAGAGCTGTTCTTTTTCTGTGCCAGCTTGAGGTTATTAGGAGAAGGTACATGAGGGGAGAGGCTGACGGATGGTTAATCGTTACTATCCGCAGTGTGTAAAGAATCACAGACCACAACGAAAGGAGCCCAGCTCCCCAGTGGAGCAAGCCCCTCTGTCCTGTGAGTGGGGGGGACTTGGTGGCTCCCCGTCTCTTCAGGACGAGGGAAGCCTCCTTTTTCTATTACAGGTGTTGATATTTCCAGACCTTTTGCTCTAAATATTATGGACCTAGAGACTTGGGTTTTCCTTGTGACATTCTTGAAAGTTTTTGATGGTGAGGCACCGTCGCTGCTCCTGTGCCCACCCGTCTGTCTCACTCCATGTAGCTGGTAACCCTAGCAGCTGATGCTCCGCTGCAGCCCTGCTCTTTTCTTTTTTTTTTTTTAATTTTGGCATCATTAATCTACAATTACAGAAAGAACATTATGTTTACTAGGTTCCCCCCTTCACCAAGTCCCCCCCACATACCCCTTCACAGTCACTGTCCATCAACGTAGTAAGATGCTGTAAAATCACTATTTGTCTTCTCTGTGTTGCACAGCCCTCCCCGTGCCTCCCCACCACTATACATGTTAATCGTAAGGCCCCCTTTCTTTTTTCCGGCCCTTATCCCTCCCTTCCCACCCATCCTCCCCAGTCCCTTTCCCTTTGGTAACTATTAGTCCATTCTTGGGTTCTGTGATTCTGCTGCTGTTTTGTTCCTTCAGTTTTCTTTTGTTCTTATACTCCACATATGAGTGAAATCATTTGGTACTTGCCTTTCTCTGCCTGGCTTATTTCACTGAGCATAATACCCTCTAACTCCATCCATGTTGTTGCAAATGGTAGGATCTGTTTTTTTCTTATAGCTGAGTAATATTCCATTGTGTATATGTACCACATCTTTTTTATCCATTCATCTACTGATGGACATTTAGGTTGCTTCCATATCTTGGCTATTGTAAATAGTGCAGCGATAAACATAGGGGTGCATCTGTCTTTTTCAAACTGGAGTGTGCAGCCCTGCTCTTTTAGACTGAAATACTGTTATTTTGTATTGTTTATAGGTATGAACATGCTAATGATGATAAGAGCAGTTTGAAATTAGATCCAGAAGGGGAAAAAATCCATGCTGGACTCCTGAAAAAGTTAAATGAACTGGAATCTGAGCTTACATTTAAAATGGGTAATTACTGCTTTTGTAAGTCTCCTGGGGACTTTGGAAGGCCATCTTCCAATTGACTTAAGGAAATGGGCTCTGTCTCCTTGGAGGAAATGGCTGGTTCTCCTCGGGGGAGGTCACCCCCGCCCCCTGTGCAGTGTCTCTGGGCTGCCCACGGCCTCATCAGAGCCACCGTCCTCACCCTGTACCGGAGGCCCCTTTGTACACGGTCATGCCGTTTTACTGGAGAGCAGATGTGTCTGAATCAAAGCAGGGGACTCAGGACCAAGGTCAGTCTGTTGTCTCTTCCTGCAGGCCCTGAGTATAAAAGCATGAAGAGCTGTATCTACATTGGCATGGCGACTGACGACCTAGATGTTTCTGAACTGGTGGAGACCATTGTAGTCACAGCCCGAGAAATTGAGGAAAACTCAAGGGTCTGTAAAACTAATCAGTGTCTCATCCTTTTCTGGGTTTTCCCTGGGCAACTAGCTAGAGTCACAAAGGAAGAAGCCACCCTCAGGAAATGTCTGTTCATTCATTCTTTGCCCTTAAGTTTTTACATGCTTCCTGTGAGCTCGGCATTGTGCCAGGCGTCAGGAACGCCAGGTGGATTTGACACCCTGTATCCCCTCCATGGATTCGCAGGCCTGTGGGAAAGATCCATTCAACCACGTGAGGTAGGCAGTGCTATGGAGAAGTCAGGACACATTCACCTGTCTGGCAGGGTCAGGAGGACTTCTTGGGTGTAGCTGAATCCTGAGGCTAAATGAGGCATGTGTTTGTGATCACAGAACTTTCCATCCATAACAGACCTGCTTCTACTGGCCAATTGGCATGGAGGACCAGGCTGTGAGGCCTAAGGGATGTTCTCCAAACCAGGGATTTGAGTCACCAGGAGTCACTCAGGAGCGAGAAAAGGGACCAAAGCTCCTCTGGCATGAAAAATAGAAACCTGGGCCATGTGATTTTCTGTGTCCACAAATATTGAGCAGTGTGTCTATTTTATATCTATACGACATTCAGATCAGGGGACAGTTGAAATAGCCTCTCTGTTCCTTGGCAATTGAGGCTCGTCACCAATATATGTGCCTAGATCTCCTTGAGCGTTTTATCCTCTTGGATTTGATTTTTATACTGATGTTTATAAGTGCAGAATTCAGTGGGGTTGTGATGGGGACTTGAGAATATGGGTAAATGTAGTAACCACAGTGTTTTTCATATGAAACCTTAATAAAAAAAAGAAATGATTAGGGTTGGGAGAACTTAGGGGAATGGGGAGTGACTGCTAATGAATATGGGGTTTCTTTTTGGTTTGATGGAAATGTTCTAAATTGTGATGATTCACAACTCTTAAATATACCAGAACCACTGAATTGTACATGTTAAGTGGGTGAACTGCATTGTATTTGAATTATATAAATAAAGCTGTCAGTAAGAAAAAAAAAAGGTTAAAAAAAAGTGCAGAATTCCATTTACTCACATACTTTTGAAGAATGTCCCCAGGGCTGTGTTAATAGTTCTTCTAGGCCCCAGGCAAGAAACCTAGTAATGCCTTTCTTGGTCTTAACACAGCTTCTGGAAAACATGACCGAAGTGGTCCGGAAAGGAATTCAGGAAGCTCAGGTTCAGCTGCAGAGGGCAAATGAGGAGCGCCTTATGGAAGAGGTAAGGCTGCAGACGGCCTCCAGCTTGGGTCAGGCTGGGAGCTGGATTCAACACGATGGTCCTGAGGAATGTTATATTTTGTAGGGGGTGTTGCGGCAGATCCCTGTGGTGGGAACTGTGCTGAATTGGTTTTCTCCAGTACAAGCTTCACAGAAGGGAAGAACTTTCAACCTAACAGCAGGTAGGACCAACTCACTTCCTCCCAGGCCTCACTAAGCATGAGCATTTTGACCAGATGCTGTGGGATCCCACACACCTGCTGAGGCACCTTGTACATACCCCATGGCTTAGTACTGGGAGCGTACAGGACTCTGAGGAGACAGGAGTTGTCTGCCCAGGACTGTCGTCTTCCCTCTCCCGAAGGGCGCCTAAGCAGATGCCTGTCACCCAGGCCTCCTGGAGTCCAGTGAGGACGTGTTCACTCAGCATTCAGTCTAGACAGTGTGCCTTGGCATTTTGGTTCTGTGTTGATACTCCTTGTAGTCCTCAGTTTCACCCCAGCAAAGGGCTGCTTTTGTGGGGGAAATTAGAAGACTGTAGCCCCTAACACTGGACCATTTTATTTCAAACCAGGCAACCACCAAGTATTACCGGTACCGGTTGCTGGGATTTGGGGAAGATGACATCCAACTACAGGATTCCTCCTTTCTTATTCTACCAGGGGGAGTAATTCCTTGGACCTGGGGCCCCAATCCTTACCCCATCTCCAGGAAATGAGGGCTACATTGTCATATGACCACAAGAGATGCTCTGACTTAAACCTACCAAGCCTCAGGCTTTAACAAAGAGGCATCTGTTCCATGTTGCTGAAGTATTTTCCTCTCGGGTTGAGTGTTTTCACATGTCCACGGGATACGTGGGTAGACAAAGATGAAATGCTTTTTCATGAGCACAGCTACGAGATGGTTTTCTCCAGCCCCTGGCCTGTGTCAGGAGTACTGGAGTCTCCATCAGTGAGCAAGGCTGAATAGCTAGAGGAAGCACATTAGGGACCGAGGCTGAGTGGGGGGCATCTCCCAGGGCCACCTGTGCTGGGCGCTTCCACATACCCCGCTCTCTCCCCGGCAGGCTCTCTCGAGTCCACAGAACACACATATGTCTACAAAGCACAAGGAACAGGAGTAACTCCGCCTCAGACCCCCTCAGGCACTCGAGCTAAACAGAGACTCCCAGGTACAGTACATCTCCATGCTTGAGTTTGTTAGCACTGGAAAAAACTGGCTTTACTTCTCTTGGGAAAATAGACCTTTGCATCATCTAACAGTTTTCCTTTTTGGAGTTGCCTGCATTCCTGTTCTCTTGGTTCTTTAGCCCAAAGCCCTATTTCTCTTCAGTTAAGACCAACTGTCCCTTTAACCTGTCCAGTGGCCTTGAGCTTTCGCCTTGGGAGAAATGCCGCCAACACTCGGGGAGGGAAGTTAGGGTCTTGAGAGCTGGCACCACATTTAACCTGTTTACTCTCCTGAGCTTTTCCTGATGAAGGGGACCTCACAAGTTCCCAGCCTTAGGGGCAGGTTGGTGTGCTGTCAGCTCCCACTTCTCACCTCATCACTGAAGTGCTTCAGAGCCAGTAGCTCCAGAGGTTTCTGCTGAAGTAGGTCTGTGCTTGGTGCACAGAGCTTTTGCTGCGCATACCCTTTCCTGAGCCCGGGCACTGCACGTTCTCCTCCTCTAGGCCAGAAGCCTTTTAGAAGGTCCCTGAGAGGTTCCGATGCTCTAAGTGAGACGAGCTCAGTCAGCCACATTGAAGACTTAGAAAAGATGGAGCACCTGTCCGGCGGGCTGGAGCAAAATGCCTTGGAGGCCGACAGCCCAGAGCGGCCCCCAGGGGCTTCCCCCACTCAGGAAACCGAGCAGATGGGGGCCCCCCAGAAGCAGGCCCAGCGCACAGATGATGGCCACACGCAGATAGAAGAACTTGACAGCTTAAGATAAAATTCAGTGTTTGGTTGGAGACTGTACTGAATGTTGTTTCAGGGAAGATGAAGTTTATAGTTTATACTGCAAGTGCAAACTGTGCCACATGCTACTTCATACAAAAGAAGTTTTGTTGTTCGTGCTTACCTAGCGTTTTCATACAGATGTGTGCCTGGAAGCCAGGCTTTCTAGGAGGGATGTTGACTTGTCTAACTTTCTGGGTATGTAGAACCAACTTGTTTCTGTCACCCAGCTATAGAAATACCATTCCCCCCAAGTTACCATGAACACTTTTTACTCACAAAGAACACTTAGAATTTCAAGCGCTTGCCACTTGAAACATTTGCTCTTATCTTTCTAAACATAGTGTAAGAAGTTATTAGGGTGCACATAGTAACTTTTTGCTAAGAAGTTTTCTTTAGAACTCTCCAGGTCCCTGCTGTTCTGGTGCAGAAGAGAGGCAGACCGCACTCTCTGCTGCCTACTGCAGTTGGCAGGGGGTTGAGCGTGTTGCAATATACAGCTGGATTGTATTTGGCTGGAAGGAGAGTGGGTTTCAGTGGGATTGTAAAGAAGAGTGTCAGAAGTCCTCTCCTGCCATCCCCAACTGCTGCTTTCCCTGGAGACATAAGTAAGGACTGTGTCCATTCATGTCCACTGTGGCAGATGATCAAGCAAGTTAGCCTGGGCAGTGCTTCTGTCTGACAAGTCCATCTCGCCCTTTATATACTATTTGCAAACAAAGGACTCCCGTATTAAGAGTAACTTTAAAGGCTCTTGACTATATATATATATATATATATATAT